CAAGCCTGAGGCAGTGTGAGGGCGATGCAGCCTGGGGCCGGGCAGCAGGACTGCCATGCTCCCATCAGAGAGCTGAAAGAGGCTCAGCCCTCTTCTCTGCTTGCACCTTAGGAGCCGTAGTTGCTCTCTAGATCCTCTCTACCCTCCACAGAGAGAGAGAGGATCCTTCAGTGGATGGTTCAACTGCCATAAGGTCTGAATTGCTCACTATCTCCATTGACTGCAGGGTGAACCATCACCCACAGGCTGCTAATTCAAACTTCAGTCTCATGTGTCAGGTGTGTTGGGATGAATAGGGACAATATTTTCCATTTGACTGAAAATGGGGCTTAAACTCTTTAGAAAATGTTGCTGTCTGTCTTCAGCTCTACACCAGATACACAGCCCCTGGCCATTTCAAGCTGTCTTCCTCTCCAAACATTCCTTGTGTCAGGGATAGGCAGCAAGATCTCCAGGCAGAGTAACAGATCAGCCTGCACTGCTGAGCAAACACTACTGGCATGGGCTCCCATGGAAGTTATACGTGCTCGGTACACAGCAGGAGCAGGGCCATCACAGTAAGAACTGCAAGCAAAATTTTGGTGCTTGCAGAAGTGCTTTGGCCGCTTAGGTAGGAACTGAAGTTACAAATTCAGAGCTGATAATGCTCACATTCTGCCAGCAGAGACCCTGCATCACTGTCAAGGCTAATAGGATTTTGAATGTAGTCACTGTGAAAATAGATGTAAAACTGGTAATAGAGTCTGGAAGGCGAAGCAGGTTAGACTTTGTTACCAAGTTGCTCACCTGTACCATTAACTTGTCGTATGGGGGTCTCTAGAAAGCTGGTGACACCCCAGAGACTGCAGCTGTCCTAGAGCAGCTGTTTGATTATTACAATTAATGATTTATTTCATGTAGCAGCCATTAGGAGTAGGAACAACTAGCTGTACCTGCAAGGCTACACCCATTGAGGGAAGCGTGATACGCGTGTGAAATCTGAATGGTGGTGCAGGTACAAGAGAGGAGGCTTCTTCATGCGCTGTGAAACCACACGCGAGTTAGGGAGCAGCGACTCACTGAAGATGCTTTTGTGTTGGGTTGGAGGCAGGAAAGGCAGATTAGGATGAAAAGAAAAAAGGGAGAAAGAGAAAGTTACAGAGACTGAGGGGGCGGTTATGGTAAGTCTATAACATAAAACTAAAGTTGCTGTCTTCTAAGCTGATCTGTGCTGCAAATGGAAGGAAACAAAGGAGGAAGACAGGGACACAGAACATAGGATAAGGGTTTTCTGGTCATTCCTCCTGTCCACCATTGCTGTAGGTAACCACCTCTTCTTTGGGAGATCTGGGAGACACTGATTTACCCACAGTCACTGATGAATTTCACATACCTACAGGCTTCCGTGTGGTCATCTGATTAATGATGACAAGTGGGGTGGTCTTTGTTTGGCCAAGACACTGACTCTTCACACTAGCTTTAGTTCATGCGACTAAAGGCAGCACTCTAATAGTTGTCCTGTACCTTGTAGTTGTACTGGTATTGCACTTGTACACACATTGTACCGTGGGGCCGTCTCCAGCTTCTGGATACATCTCAAGGAGTCTGCTTAACAAGCTGTGTAACAAGAAAGCCTTCGCTGCTACATTTGCTTATGTTTGTTTTGCTGTTGCTGTATTTGCAGCCTAACTACTGCAAGCCTGATAAATAAATATTTTGCTCTGTTGCTGTTGATCTGTCTGGTGTTGCAGGATGAAACTGACTTCGTGTCAAAATGGTAAAGTTGGGCTGCACCACCTTTAATACACCCACATTAGAGAGGTGAGCACAGGGATCCCTGGGCAACATGCAGCCAGAACATGTTTAACGATGCACAGAGTGAGCAATACTCATAGCCACAAACAGCTCAAAGGAAATGATTGAATTTCTAACTCCACAAAATCACAACTGAAAAGGTCTTTTTAATACTTAAATAATCATCCCCTTCAAAAGTATCTCCTGTCAAAATCATATGCACAGTCCATGTGTTGATGCAGTTTAATTATATAAGAAACCTGGGACCTTGGAGCTTTGCTAGCAAGTCTACACTTGGGGTTGTAACCTTGCTGACTTAGAGGACTTACAGGAACAATTTTCAGAACTCACTATTTGGTGAATTAGGGAGTCCTCCCAGATCCCCAAAGTGCTTAAGATCATGCAAGGCTTTTTCTTGCATTGGTCCCAGGGAGACATACAAGCAGTTGAGATGGTATTATGCTTCAGACACCATGTTTCCAAAAGGATATGCTGACTTTAGGAGAAGTTGGGACAGGAGGAAAGAAAAATGATGATGGAGAAGGAAAACCCTTCACATGCATACAGGCTTGGAAGATTTGGTTGTTTTCCGTAAAGTGGAGATGGAGAAGAGAAGTAGGAAGAGTAAGGCCATGCAATGTCCTAGAGAAGATGAGTCATCTGCTTCCATCAACCTTTTCTCAACACAGAGGCAAAATGGAAAATTAAAGTGAATGGCAGTAAATTTAAACTAATAGAAGGAAATAGATTTTTATTCCTGCTATGGCCTTTTAACACTGGAGAAGGGATGCAACTCCATGTACTTCAACATAAAAACTAGACTCCACACAAGACCAGGAAAAAACATTTTCTTGGCTGGGGAATATATTATCTCACAGTGCCCTCAGAGTTCTTGTGGTGCCTGGGTCTGGCTGCTGAGGCAGGACGTGGCTCTGGATGGCTCTCTGATGTGGCCTCTTACAGTGACTCCTGTGGCTCCTGCCCTTGTTTAAAAGGAACTCATCACAGTAAAAGCCAGCAGGAGTTATCTGAGGCTGCAGTCCTGGATGCACCGCTGGTCAAGAATGGGACTGGCCGGGAAGGCACAGAGATTTTGGGAGTGTTAATTTAAAGGATGCAGGGCTGGTGCTTTACTGGCTGGCTCTCCCCAGGCTGGCTAACTGGCAGCGCAGTGGCTGCGCTTAGGGGTTGGTGGATGATACCCGCGCTCCACGTCCTCACCAGCACCACCTGGTTCACATGCTGTGGCAGGGGATTGCCATGTGGGCAGGAGGGACTGAGGACAACCTGGCTGCGAGCACCCTGAGGGGCCCGGCTGCCCCAGGAATGCACCCGGAGCAATGTCAGCGCCTGGCAGGTGTTTTGTGCTCGGCTCTGTGTGCTCAGGCAGGGGAGCACGTAGCAGCGTGGCTCTGGAGCGAAACACGTACCAGACACATTATTGAGACAGGAATTTCTTGTCATCACAAGAGCTTGACTTACCTTTGTCATTTTAATGCATTGCACTCAGAGCCTGGTTTAAAAAAAACCAATACACTCCCCCCCCCGCCCCCCGCCCCAGCTTTTCAGAGATAATTTAAGTCTCTTTCTGAAAGGCCTTTTTATGATTTCAGCGGCTCCCAGGGCAAGGATGAAATAAAAGGAGAGCGGCAGCAACATGTAACTTTTGCACTGCAGGGTGCTGCCGGTCAAACAAAACCCTGCAGGAAGAAACATTTTGCACAGGGCGCAGAGCACGTGCCATCGCAAGTTCTCATCACAATGCCCACATTCTGCACCCTGTGCCAGCCCTCATCCTTCTTGCCTGTCTTTACAGCCCCTCTGCCTCTTTGCTCACTTGAGCAGGAAGGGTTGAGTCATCCTAGGCATGCTCGGGGAGAAACCGTTGCCTCCAGCCCATTTCTTGGAAACTAATAAAAAAAATAATCCCAGAAATGTTGCAACACACTTGCTTCTTCTGCTTCTGGGGGGCTGTTGCGCTGTAACATCTCCACACCATGCAGGCAGCTCCGGCGTGCAACCAAGCAGCCGTTTGCTTTGGGACCATGCTAACCATAGCTGTGCCCTCCTTCACATTAGGTCCACTTCCTTCCCTACCTTCTTGGCATTTGCAAGGCTGAGGACCCATATTTGCTGAATAATAGCCTTCATATGATCTAACCTTTTGGATAAATGTATCTTTAGCCTTGTGCTTCCTGATCATGTAAGACAGCTCTTTCTTCCCTGAGCAATCTTATTCCATTGTCTGTTTATTCCCAATATCCTCCTGAAAGCCACTATTCAACCAGGTAGATCTCAATTCCTTCTGTACAAGATTGAAACCTTTATGAGGGACGCAAGCTCCAGGTGTTTCATATCTTTGACTTAAAATAATTCCATTCTCCTGTCTTGTTCCCCTTCTGAAGCCTGCCAGCTCAGCTGGCTTCATTAACTTCATTAATTTCTTCCCTCTATCTCTTAGAAGCTGCTTTTGCAGAATGAAGAATCCTCCCAGAAGTTTCAAACCTAATTTTGTCTTTTCATTCCACTCATGAATCCACTCATGATCACTTGATCCAAGCTAATTTTCCATGGCTAGCTATTACATGTCCTCTCCTTCAGACACAAAGTCTGAAATCACATCCCTTCTGGGCAGTTCAGAGCCAACTTTATGAAGAAGTTTATGGGCTACAACCCCCAGGGATACACGGGCTTTACCATTATTAACAAACTTTGATCTCCACTTGACATCGAGAAAGCTAAATTCTCCCATAACGATACTATTTGTCTCTCTAGTAACATGGAGATCTCAAACCCTATCCAAATCTGAATCTGGAGGTTAATAGGATTCAGAGAACACTTTTTATTTCCCCGTGCCAGCGGAGTGTTTGGAGGGTCATAGTACTGCTAATAAAGGACCTTGAGGTCTCAGGGGGAGGAGGAGCTTAAAGAGGAATGCCAAGCACCTTTTCCCATGTATATGTTCTTGCACACACATGCATGGGTTTGTAATTTGAAACTCTCTTTACTTCTGGACAGGCTTTGCAAACTGCTTAGACCACATTCTCTGAGGTGTTTAAAGAGGGTGGAGTATGCAGTATTTATTTAGGTACTCTACAAACCTTAATAAGAATCGAGTGCTTGTAGCAATCGCAGAGAGCAAACAGAAAGCCAGCTGGCAGAAACCGAACAGTGCCACTGCATTTTTATTACTTCTAACCCCCAAAAAACAGATTATTACTAAAAAAATGTCTTTTTTAATTTCATTTATCTCTGATCCTGCATTAATTTGTCTGCTGTGTGCAGGAGCGTTATTAGCTGTACTCTATTTTTCAACTGGCTATAAAAATTCAGCTTTTAAATTTCCTCCTGGTCCAACTCCTCTTCCGATCATTGGTAACCTGCACTTGGTGGATCTTAGAAGGCAAGATAAATCACTAATGAAGGTAGGACAAAAACCCCCAAACCCAGACCCTCATAGATTTTAAAGCTGCCTGGGATATATCAGCGAGAACTTTTTGTCATTTTAATTCAAACTAAATTGTAAAGGTGTGAAAATTGCTTTATAATATTTTTCTGGCTTCTTCTAGCCAATGTCTGTGTTGATGCAATGTCATTTTTGAGCAATCAACCATTAAAAAAAGACCTCTGGGTAATATGGGAATTCTTCATGTAATTGTGGTGATGTACATGAAGTATATAATGCTTGTGGGATTTGAAATACTAATTTGACAGCTCGGACACCCAGAAATCTTTTAAAGCATTAGGATGTAACTAACATGAAATGAAATTGCTTCCCTCCCCTCTGCCCTGGAGAACTGGCAAGGGGAATTCCATGATGCAGTGATCCCGAAACTGCTTTGGAGAGGGCCAAAATCCAGATGCCCCGTTGCAAAATCCACTTCCCTCTTGATGAATTGGATACGCATTAAAAGCTAGACAGCAGTGCAAGAGAGGGATGGAAAAGTTGCGCTAAGGAACCAGAACGAATAGCCTGTAAGCTCTTCTATTAACCTGTAATTAAGACAACTTACCACCACTTATGGTGGTAAACTGTTCTTCGGTGCAAGACCAGGCTGGCATAGCCCAGGGTGTTTGTCAGGCTGCTGAGTGCTCCCTCCTCGCCTTAGCAGACAGCACCCTCGGGGATCGACCTGTGCCAGGGTCAGGGAGAGAGCGAGCAAACAGACAGCGGCAGTTCACGACCACGCATCGACACGGCTCCCGTAACACCGGTGCTCAGCCAACACTGGTGGTTGTCCGGGAGCAGCCGAGTGGTGGGTTAGCACTGCCGCGGGGTGAGGCTCCCTGCACCTGGTGTTGTTATGGGCAATGTCAGGGTTGGGGTCAGTTTACCCAGCGGGGCTGGGCAGACGTTGCTGCAGTCTCTGAACGGCGGTTTGGAATTACCTCCGCCTGCTTTCATCATCTGCTAGGCTATATTTGGTATTGACTGTGTTTGCCTTTACTTTGGGATTACTCCAAAGGGGTTATTCCTCCATCTCACCCCACAGAGAGCAAAAAATGGTGATTGCATTGAGCAGCAGGCACCAGTGTTTGTTGGCTGGGCACCCTGATGGGGGTGTTTGCAGGGCACGGGGGGATGCCTCCCTCTCCTCTGCGAAAGCTGCCGGTGGACCTGGCGGAGCTGAGGCTGCACGCATACACCGTGTGTTTGCTTAGGCGGCAGATTTGGACTGTGGCTTCCCATCACCTTGCTCCAGCCCAGCCCACACTCTTGGCTGTCCCCGAGTGCTGTCTTTCAAGCTGCCGGGGAGCAAGGAGCAGCCGCAGCGGCGGGGCGGAGGTAGGCAGGAGTAGTCAGCCTCCCACGGTCCCCAATGCAGCGCCAAGGAGATACATGGGCAGGGGTTGAGGGGGCATGACAGCCTCACCCTTGTAAAACGCAGGCATGTAGCAGCAGGCACACACACGACGGTCCTTACGGAGCGTGGATTCCCCCGTCAGCCTGCCTCGCTCTGCGCAGACCCCTTTCCTTGGCAAAGAGGAGCGGGGATCTGTGCACAGCACAGTGGCTCCGGGGACACACATAGGACATGCCAGCAGGACCGCATGCTCCCGGAGGGATTTTCAGCCCCCCTGAGGCACTGTGTTGCCTTTGTAAGCTGCCGGCAAGGCACAGCTTTGGCGGGGAGCTGCGGAGAATTTATCCTGGGGCATGTGGCAGGGAAAGAGTCTCTCTGTGTCCTGGCAAAGATACCTCCAGAGCCTTCTCAGTGCAAAACGAGCATCACTTTATGTACAAGCATGGGGTCAGCCAGCGGTTTGGGCAGCCTTCTGCTTCTGACATGGGTTTCCCTGCTGTGCCCGGCTGAGCTCTAGGTACCAAAGCCAGGTCCGAGCAGAGGGGCACAGATTGGCAATTTGTGGTCATCCAGGGCAAACTAAATGCCTGGCATGGGAAAAACAGCTCCTCTGATCTAGTAGCAGGGATGCAGGAGTGCTTTGGTGCGAGAGGAGCATCGTACCAAAGTTTTCCTGTGTGACAGCATCATCATTTGCACTGAAATGTCTTCTCTGTTTTTGTCTTTCTCCAGTTTGCCAACTTGTGTTGCCATTTGAGGTCTGGTCTTCAACTCTAGGTGGTTTTTTTTTGGTTTTCATTTACTTTCTCCTTAACAGCAAAACCAGATTAGTAATGCACTGATGGGGGTGGGGGTTCTTTCATGGCAAGAAGCCTAAAAACCATACGGATGCCGGCCAGGCATCCGTACGCAATGCCTCGTGTTTGACCGTGATGAGCTCCAGCTCACAGATGCTGTTCTGCAGGGAGCGGCTCCGCAGCTGTTCCCAGCAGGGCACCAGGACATAATATGTCCTTTCAGAAAGCAACGGGCGCTTGCCCTGTGCACACTCCCTCTCTTCCTGACCATCACAGCTCGCCTCTTTTTCAGCTTGCGGAAAAATACGGCCCCATCTTCACCCTCCACTTTGGGTTCCAGAAAGTTGTGGTCCTGACCGGGTACGAAGTTGTGCGGGAGGCGCTTGTGAACTACACAGAGGAGTTTGTAGACAGACCATCCATCCCAATATTTGACCAAATTCAGAATGGAAACGGTACTAGAGAAATGAGCGGGGGCGGGCGGGTGGGACAACACCGTCGCTTAGTGCCAGCCTAACTGTGCTTCCCTGGAGCCCGGCTTTTAAACATCCCCCTTGGACCCTTCTGAAGCCAAGCTGACAGAAAAGATTTGGCTTTCCTCGCTTTCATGCAATGCCTCCTGGCTTTTCACTACCATCATTTTTGCTAATGCACTTGCGGCCGATCCATATCCTAAACGTTTGAGGGTGAGGAGTGGGATTTTTAAAGGCACCGTGGTAATTCTGGGGTTAATTTCTGTAAGACATCAATGAGAGCGGCTCTCCACCACCACCACATTTGCAAACCTTCCCCACGGTTTCAGGGGACTTTGGACTGACTGGTTTGGCTGTTTGGAGCTGTAGGGTTTTTCCCTTTCTCCCACTGCCAGGTGCCACAGTTTTGGACATCATCAGTCCCCCGTGCCTTGCCTCCCCACAAAAGCTCTTGGGTGGACCACGTGAAACAGGTTCAGGCAGAAGCAATAGGCTGAGGCTGGAAATTTGCCCCCACAAACAACCTCATGGTTTTTCCAGGGCAACTGAGTATTTCAGAGGACTTTTTGCCTTGTTTTTCCATCCTCTGCTTCAGCTGAGGCTTTAGCTTTGAGCATCCAAACGGCAGCTTTATATGCTGGTCACAGGCTGAAGTTGGGATTACAATTAGAAATGAAATTACCCAGCCATAATATCAATAGATTAATTTATCGCTACATAAAGAAAAGGAATCGATGGGGAGAAAAGCATTTTTCAGAGCTAATTTACATGTAAAACATCCCTGTGGGAGACTGTCAGTATTGCACTATAAGTCCTTTCACACTTACCTTCTCAGCCCAAGTCTGAGCCACTTAGAGGTGACCCAAAGCTGTAAATTCACAGGGGCTGTTAAGTAACAATGGTCACCAATTTTCCAATGAAACATTTTTTTCTTCAGAAAATGCCAATTTGTTGACTCCAAAGATGTTTGCAGAAAATGAATTATCCAGATGAAAGTGCCTGAATTAAAGAAAAATTAAAAACAAGGTTTAGAAATTTGCTTTGACATTTTTAGAGAAAGAAGTTTTGCTTTCCAAATTAAAACTACACGGCTCTAAAATAGTGTTTATTCTAGAAAAAGCAAACACATTTAAAAACCTTGCAGCCAAGATGAAGATGTGAAGTGCTGGAACCCAGTTTTTCAACTGACACAATCTGAGATAGTTTTTGGATTATTGACACAATTTTTTCTTTCGCTATTTCCAACACACTGACGGGATGAAATACCCATCCCTGCTTGGTGGTGTTAGTGGTCATCAAGGCATGAGCTCAGTGACCTCTACAAAATGATAGTGTTTTTGCCACTGCTGAAAATACAGTGTTGCTGGGAATCTCCATAAAACAGTTCAGCACTGGCCAGGGTTGAGGAGACTGAATTACCCCATCTCACATAGATAAAATATCTTTATGACTGGAATAGGACAAAGGGAGAAGCTTCCAAGATACAAGGTTGTTGCTTGAGGCCCTAGACTTGCAACCAAACAGGATCAGAAAGGTTGCATGATTGACTTAGACCAACATCTGGCCCCAGCTCTACAGCCAACCAGTACTGGTCTGAAAGCCATAGCTGCTTCTCTTGCACTCAGGAGAGGGCTGGGGCAAGACTGGGTTGGGTGGGAGCTTGTTTTTCCCCAACTACAGGCTCAGTGAGACTGGGAGAATGGAGCTGAGAGGATACAGGGATGGGGCACACAGAAATGAGAGACCCTTAGTCCCCAAATCCATGGGAAACTGGGCAGCAGAAACACCTGTGGAGATCCCTCTTCATCCAGTCCCCTATTTTGTTTCGTGCGGTGGGGCTCCTCCGTGCATGAGCCCAGCGGTGATGTCTCACTGCCTCCCCAGGTTTGTTCTTCTCTATCGGGGAGCTGTGGAGAACAACTCGGAGGTTCACCGTATCCAGCATGCGCAACCTCGGCATGGGGAAAAAAATGATAGAAGGGAGAATTTTCGATGAGCTTCACTTCCTCATCGAGATGATCAAATCCTTCAAAGGTGAGCTGGAGATGATCACGGTGCTGTACAGCCTCATATGCATCACTGCTGCTGCAACATCTCACTAACATTTCCATCCTCCTCCCGTTGCAGGGGAACCTTTTAGCCTGACGTCCTTCAACTGTGCTCCAATCAACATCACCTTTGTCATGCTGTTTGGGGACAGGTTTGACTATAAGGACCCAACATTTCTCACTCTCTTAAGACTCATAGATGAAGTTATGATTCTTCTGGGATCTCCGTATTTGAGTGTAAGTTATCTGTCCCACAGATTAATATTTTTTTACACTGGCGCATTACATTTGTGAGCCACACAAACCATAGAATTTAGTTCAGCAGTTTTCAAATATTCAGAACCAGCCATTACACCTAGAATGTGACAGTTCTGTCATACCACTTTGGTCACTTCAAGCGTGCAGCCAGATTCCCCTTTGCTACTCTCCTTTTGAACCATCCTGCACATCTGTGTGGAGCTAAAATGAGAACTGAACTATGGATATTTTAGCTCCACAGATTTTCTTTTTGGCTTCTTCAACATAATTGCACCACCTAGACTTTCTTTGCCTTTGCTGCATTTTCTAAAACCTGTCATACCACTTTGGTCACTTCAAGCATGCAGCCAGATTCCCCTTTGCTACTCTCCTTTTGAACCATCCTGCACATCTGTGTGGAGCTAAAATGAGAACTGAACTATGGATATTTTAGCTCCACAGATTTTCTTTTTGGCTTCTTCAACATAATTGCACCACCTAGACTTTCTTTGCCTTTGCTGCATTTTCTAAAAAAGCACATTCAGTGTTGATGTCCAGGTGAGTGAGATTTCACAGACTGCATTAAAAATGCTTCCTTGGAGAGTACTAGGAAAAACTCTGCTTATCTTCAAACTATCATACCCTGTCCTTCATAACTGATGTTGGAAAAAACTAACCAGTCTCATGCTGATCTAAGCTGACTGGTGGCCTGGCACACCGGAGCCCCAACTCTGTTGAGAGGCTGACCAGGCTGTTACTGGTAGAGGATCTGTCCCCACAGAACAGCATAAATGCTTAAAATTAGGTAGTACTAAATAAAGGCTCAAAGGTTGCAAAGCCCTCCCTTATGAAAATCTGCCCAGGAAGTCCCTGGGATGCTAAGATACTGCTACTACAAGACAAAACTCAACTGATATGTCATGCCTTAGGAAAAAGCTCTTTCAGCATGCTGATATTTCTGCAGACTTAATGCTTCTCTTTTTTAATTCCTCATTAGTATTTCAATTTCTACCCGTTTCTTGGGTTTCTTTTCAAAACCCACAAGATTATGCTTGGGAAAATAGAAGATGTGCGCGTCATTTTAAGGCAATACATGAAGGCAAGCAGGGAGGATATCAATGAGAACAGCGTGAGGAGCTACATTGATGCACTGATATTCAAGCAACAAGAGGTATTTGACTGCTTAGCTCTGTTGACTGTTTGCAACGTCTCCTTTAGATTTTCTAGCTAAAACAGTTGCTGAGTCTTGATTTCAGTCATGACATGTAAACCTATTGAAATCCATGCTGTTATTCTAGTGGTATTGAAATCAGACACCAGTCTGTTATAGTTGTAATCTGCTGCAGGGATTTTTCTATCAAAATTAAGATATGAAAGCCACTGTCTCAGTCCTTGTATCAGCAACGCTAATAATGTGAGATCAACTCCTTGTTCCTAGTAGAAAATGCATGAATTCACGTGAAAAGCTGACTCTGCCTTTCTTTTTATGACAGCAAATCAATTAATCATCAATACTGTTGCTCCAAGATGAATGATACACTTAAAGTACTTGAATGATAAATCATCAGTACAAGTCCTAGCCCTGCCCTGCATCTTACTTTAGCAGAGACTCTGCAGTTTTGTACATCAGTTAATTTCATTCAACACAAAATATTTGGGCTCTGAGTTTTTTCTTCTTTCCAGCTGGGTCTGGACCAACCTTAGGCACTAAGTATTCTACCCAGCTATGTGGAAGAAGGGTCAGTACAGTCCTGAAGTCCAGCAGAAATGGCCTGAAAGGTCATTTTCAGCATTGTTGGGGATTCAAACCTGCCCTTGGGCAGGAGGAGTCCCTCGGAGCTAGGATTAGCTGAATCTCCTTCTGTACAGGGGAGAGACCAGGCAAGGAAGGAGAGGCGGTGGGGTAGCCCTGTATGTTAGGTAGTTTTGTATGTTTTGAATGTCTAGAGCTTGATGATGGTGACGACAGAGTTGAGTGTTTATGGGTAAGAGTCGGGGGAAGGCCAACAAGGCAGGTATCATGGTGGGAGTCTGTTATAGACCGTCCAACCAGGATGAAGAGGCAGACGAAACATTCTATAAGCAGCTGGGGGAAGTCTCACAATCGCTAGCCCTTGTTCTCATGGGGGACTTCAACTTACCAGTTGTCTGCTGGAAATACAATACAGCAGAGAGGAAACAGTCTAGGAGGTTCCTGGAGTGTGTGGAAGGTGACTTCCTGACACAGCTGGTGAGGGAGCCAACTAGGGAAGGCGCCCCGCTGGACCTGTGGTTTGAACAGAGACGGGCTTGTGGGTGGTGTGACGGTTGGAGGCCGTCTTGGGCATAGCGATCACGAAACGATAGTTTTTGATTCTCAGAGAAGTAAGGAGGGGGTCAGCAGAACTGCCGCCTTGGACTTCCGGAGGGCAGATTTATGTTCCTGTTGAGGAGCCTGGTTGACAGAGTCCCTTGGGAGGCAGTCCTGAAGGGCAAAGGAG